CTTTCCATTCAGGGACGTGGATCTAACAGACTTCTTTAATGTCTATTATTACCTTAATTTTTTTTCCTTTGACTAGTACCTGCAGTCTTCTTGGAGAAAAAATGTTCTTGGCTGAAGGAAAATAAGACTTCAATTAAAATTTGTTTAAAAAGCAACAATTGTGAAAACACTACATATTTAAGCAAATGGGAACAACTAAAACTATATTCAGAGGATTATTCAAAGCCTTAAGTACCTTCAATAGTACATAAGAAAACCTGAAAATAAACTAAGAATTCAATTTTTAAAGTCTTTTAATTTTTAAAAGCAGAGCTAAAGAAAGCAAGAGAAAGGAAATGAGAGCCTTACAAGAAGAATTTTGAAAACAAGAAAATTAGAAGAACTCATGAATAAATCCAAGGTCCACTTATTTAGTCTCTAGATATATTAATGGATTTGTCTGTTTCTTCTTTCAGACCTATCGGATTCTGCTCCATGTGTTTTAAAACTGTTGCTAGGTGCATATATGTTTAGAATTATTAATGTCTTCTTGCAGAATTGACTCTTTTATCATTGTGCGATATCCCTTTTTCCACGCATAATATTTCCTTTTATCTTTTGTGATGCCTGTGTTTGTCTGCAGCTTTCAGTTAATATTTTCATGGCATATCTTTTCATCCCATTGCTTTTATCCTTTTTATGTCTTAACTTTTGTAATAAATACTTATGTCTTTTTATAATAAATTGGCAATAGTAAGTAAAATGTTTCTTTGAGTTCTTCGATTTGTCCTGGCAAATTATTAAATATGAGGAGCAAGGTCATGGGAACCCTGATTCACAGCAGGTCAGTTGGAAGCACAGGAAAAACAACGTGGGGCTGGTGATTAGCATCTGAAGTGGGAGCAGACTTGTGGTGCTGAGCCCTCAACCTGTGGGGTCTAACAGAATCTCCAGGTAGGCAGTGTTGAAATTGAGTTAAATTATGAGACACCCAGCTGGTGTCCCCTAGAGGATTGTTTGGTATGTGGGGAAAACCCACACACGTCTAATGTCAGAAGTGAAGTATTGAGGGTGTCGAGTGATAATACAGTAGGAGAAAAAACCTGTTTTTTCCTTTACAGGCAAGTGATCAATACAATAAACATGGAGCACCCTAATTTATTGACCACAGCCTGTTAGCAGTATAGAAAATTTAGCCATAGGATGAAAACGTTTTACAACGTAAAAATGAGGAAGATACTGTGTTTACAGACAGAGGACAGCTCTGTGCTGATCATTTTGAAACCTTGAAAAAGTGATTTTATTTTAAAAATGAAAATGATCAAAATTGATTCAAGAAAAGGTAGAAAGGGGGATATATCAGGAACTATGAAAGAATAAAGGCATGCAAAAGCAAAAATGACTTTCAATGATAGCACTGTTTTGCTTGGTAAGATTTTTTGTTTCAAACTTTGAGGGAATGGGTAAATTCCTGACTATACAAAAGTTTTGTGATATCCCTCACTGAGGATAGCTACAGGAGTTACTTCTTTCCTCGTTTAGTCTGGATTTATTATCTTTTGTTGTTCATACCCTATTGATTTTCTTCTGAGCTGGCACTTCTCCCCATTGAGGCTCCATTTTTCCCTGGAGAGGAGACTGACAAGTGCTCCCACCCCAGCTCAAGTGCAGGCATTTAATAAGAAAATCCTTGGGAATCAGTTTCTTTTAAAACGTGTACATAAACCAGGAATGTGTTACCATTACGAGAAAATAAGGATGAAAACACCTATTGCCTAAGTCCCTGGTTCCGGAGCTCTGCTGTACAGCACTGTACCTATAGTTAACAATACAGTATTGTGCACTTAAAAATTTAAGAGGGTAGATTTCATGTGAAGTGTTCTTACCATGACAAAAAAAGAATATTAAAGTTCATGAAGGCTTTAAAAAATAAATCCTTTATTGAATACTTGTACTCAAGGGAATAACTTTATTTTAAATAAAAAGTGTTTTTACTTCAGGAATATAAAAGATATGTGCCTAGAAATCAAAATAAAGCTTGATTTTTTTCAATGGGTGAAAAGAAAGAAAGAAAGTCCCTGGAGGCAAACTTCTTCATTCCAAAACATTTTCCTCCTCGTGGGTAGTCAGTGGAATTAATGGGTGAGAGCCACATTCTTTAACAGGGCCAGTCGAGATCTTCATGGCTTCTTGCAGAGACCAAAGGTCCTCTTTGCAGAGTTTATGTCCTCATTTTATAATTATACTATATCTAAATTGTCTTTATCTTATTTTGTTTGCTTTTCCTTTTGATGTATATAAAAGTTATGGGATTTTTTTTATAGGTATCCTAGCTACGGTAAAACAAATATTTTGATTTGATGTTAGCTCGGGTCCTCATTTTATGCCTCAAGAGAAAACCTACATAAGAAGGAATAGAACACACCAACCCGTTCCCCTTTCCCAGAAGATGTCAGCCCCTCAGCCCCTTGGTGGAGCTTAGGAAGCCTTGGCTACAGTTGTGGAACCTCAGGCATCTGATGTCTCTTACTCACACAAGTGAGTTGCATGGGTTCAGATCTTTGAAGAATTCCACCTTTCAGAAAGCAGGCTGAGAGGAGTGCATGAAATATCTGGCATGATAGGAAAACAGGATGTGAAAATGGGACTTTCGCTGACATCTGGTTTGGCTGAGGCCCCAACCCCGAGACCCCAGTGTCGGCTTCCACATCTTGGGGCCAGATGCCGGCTTATCTGTGGTAGAGATTCCTGCCCTTCCTGATAACCATTCTCTTTTCTTCCCTGGTTTTCCGTGGAGTTCAGGTGGTCCTGTGATACCTCAAAACATAAGGGAGAGGAAGGAGGGCTGACCCCTGGAGTCTGTCCCTCTTCTCCTTCCCCCGTTTTCCTGCTTGAAATACGAAGAGGAAAACGAGTTCTGCAACCATCCTGAAGACTCAACAGTGGCTCAGTTGTTGTGAAAGGCAGAATGAGACTCTCAGGGCACGGCCTCAGAACAGTGTGAACCCCACCTCCAGGTTTCATCTCTGTGGTGCACTCAGGCCACTTTTTGGGAAGTTCTTCCAGTATAGCCAAACACAATTCCTGGCTTGGACCTTGAAATGTGACATGGTGCTGGATTTGCAAAGGCCATAGAAGGGAGGGCTGAGAACTGACTGTGGGAGGGAGGCTGGAGAAGAGGGTTGCTGGCATATTCTACTGCTTTCTCCCCTTCGCCAGGTGAAGGGCCCTGGGGGACAACTCTGAGATTAGCAAGTACCCCTTCCCAAGCTTCTGACTCCCCTGAGCCACTTCCAAGAGAGAAACTGGGACGGGCAGGGTGAGGGGGACAACTGCGGGGCTGCTGGCTCCTCGGCACTGACCCTGCTCCCACCACAGCTGTCCTGCAGGCTCCATGTGGGCCCCATAAAAAGAAGGCAGACTGGGCCACCTTCAATGAGATTCTGCTCATAAAAGGCGCCTGCAGAGGGGTGGCCTAGAAGTCTGCTCAGGGTGGAGGGACAGGGACAGAGGAACGAGGGTGCAACCCTGCACACAGTCTCAGTCCTGCTCATAAGTCAAGAAGCTGGGAGTCCCATGGAAGGGACAAGCCAGCGTCGGAGGGACCTGTGGCTGCTGTGATGGAGCCCTCAGTCAGTGGCTTGGAGGCGGCAGACATTTACTCCTCACTGGGCTGCAGGCTGGAGTCTGAGGTTGGGCGTCTGCAGGGCTGGGCTCAGGGCTGCTCCCTTGCAGGCTGCAGCTGGCCCTTCGTGCTGTCCTCACAGTGGAGAGAGGCGGGAGCTCTCTGGGGCCTCTCTCATAAGGGCCCTTATCCATTCGTGGGGCCCCCATCCTCATGACCCAATCATTAATGCCACACACAACAGCCCCACTCCTAATACCATCCTTTTAGGGGCTACAATTTCAACATGTGGATCGAGGGGCAACAACATTCACTCCATAGGCGGCAACATCTGGGCTCGCAACATGGGGAGCCTTGGCAACACCATGAAATGGAAGGCTGCCTGATGCCATCCTCTACCCAGGTGGCCACTGGAGCCACAGGGTCTGCGATGCAGAGGAGGAGTGGGGGACAAGGAGAGGAAAAAGTAACCACTCTTCCTTTCCCAGCTGAAGGCCTCATTGAGATAAGGGCTGGAGGAGCAAAAGTTTTTAATGAGATAAAAGCCTGGAGTTTTGATATCGGACCAGACCAGACTTTCTCTTCTTTGTTAGGGATCAGAAACGCTGTGAAGCCTGCCCGAGATTTCACTGAGGTGGGGAAGAAAGATTTAACACAGCCGGGAGAAAAGGCGGTGGTGTCAAAGACGGAGGCTGCTTTCTACCTGCCCCTTTCCGAGCCGAGCTTGTTTAGTGGCATGCCTGGAAATTTAAAGGGGAACGAAAGGGGGGTGAACTCCTCTAGCTGGTGGCTGCCTCTTGGTGTCCTGCGGTTTCTATTTCGTTGGAAGCAAAGGAATCAAAGCACTTTGCTGCCAGAGAAGGAAGGCATTCCCAATTTTGGCACACCGTTAGATAACAGACACACAAAAAGAGTAAAATAAAAGTCGACTGTATTCTGCTTCTCACAGATAACATTTCTGTGTCTGGTCTTTCAAATTTGATAACTGGACAGCAATGGCACTTTCTGTTGTCTCAGAGAAGTGTCTCTGAAAAACTCATGCTAGACACATTCCTGCAGGATTTAACAATAGCCAACAGGATCCATCTTCATCACCCACTGCCTCTAGCTTTGAGAAGAGGTGAGTTGCTCAGCAGAGGAAAAGATTATTTGCAAGAAACTTTTAGACGTAGATGGCTTGGCCACTGATTGTCCTTTCAATATCTATAGTCAAGGAGAGTGTGTTCCTCCTTTGGGTCAGATGTAAGGGTGCCCCAAGAGAGTCACTATAAAATTTAGGGTGGCATGCAATAGGGGAGCCCATGGCTGGAGGAGCTGCTTGTGCTATGCTTGGATGGAAGTATCATTTGGTTCTTGGAAGAAACTTGTGTCCCTAGGAGGTTAGTGGCTTATGAGCATGAGGACAGGAGCTCGACTCTTCCAGGAGCCCAGTGGCAGTGCTCTCCACGGCAACCAGGAACAGAAAGCAGGAAAGGTTCCTGCAGGAACCGCCAGTCAGGGCAAGGACATTTGATGTCTTCATGTCAGTGGACACTAGGGTGGAGGTCTGGTCCTGAGTCACCCCAGAAGGATCCCAGCCCAAAGCCTGCCTGCCAGGCAGATGTGTCCCCTGCCAAAGGGAATTCAGACATTCCCTTGGGGGAAAGGAGCAGAGAGCAGAGGCGAGGAGAGGAGTGCTCATTGTGGGGTCAGGGCATGGTACAATGGAGGTCCCTGGGGTGTGGCTCTAGACCCATAGCACCCAAAAATGGAAAGGCCTTTGCCCCTTTTCCTCATAGTCTAGAGGATCCAGAGCATGGAGGGCAGAAGTGCAGACTGTGTCCTCTCTCTGCCCTGCACTGGTCCTGGGCCAAGCACCGTGTCCAGGCCTGGGGAAGGGAGACCTGAGGGTCCTCTGGAAGGCCATGATGGGAGGGGAGCAGCACTGTGTGCCCCTGTACCTGGGAGGAGTTGGAGCTCTATGCCATTGTACCCAAGAGACGGCAGGGCTGTGTGTATTGTACCCAGGAGGGGACAGGCAGAGCTGTGTGTATTGTACCCAGGAGGGGGCAGGGTAGAGCTGTGTGTACTGTACCTGGGCGGGGTGGGGTAGAGCTGTGTATTGTACCTGGGAAGAGGTGGAGCAGAGCTGTGTGTACTGTACATGGGAGGGGGCGGGCAGAGCTGTGTGCCACTGTACCTAACAGAGGGCAGAGCTGTGTGCACTGTACCCAGGAGGGGGCGGGGCAGAGCTATGTGTATTGTACCCAGGAGGGGGCAGCGCTGGGCTGTGCGTACTATACTAGAGAGAGGGTGGGGCAGAGCTGTGTGTATTGTACCTGGGAGGGGGTGGGGCAGAGCTGTGTGTATTGTACCCGGGAGGGGGTGGGGNGGGAGGGGGTGGGGTAGAGCTGTGTCTACTGTACTAGAGAGTGGGTGGGGCAGAGCAGTGTGCACTGTATCCAGGAGGGGGTGGGGCAGAGCTGTGTGTATTGTACCCGGGAGGGGGTGGGGCAGAACTGTGTCTACTTTACTAGAGAGGGGGTGGGGCAGAGCTGTGTCTACTGTACTAGAGAGGGCGTGGGGCAGAGCTGTGTCTACTGTACTAGAGAGGGGGTGGGGCAGAGCAGTGTCTACTATACTAGAGAGGGGGTGGGGCAGAGCAGTGTGCACTGTGCCTGGGAGGGTGTGGGTTAGAGTTGTGTGTATTGTACCCGGGAGGGGGTGGGGCAGAGCTGTGTGTATTGTACCGGGGAGGGGGTGGGGCAGAGCTGTGTCTACTGTACTAGAGAGGGGGTGGGGCAGAGCTGTGTCTACTATACTAGAGAGGGGGTGGGGTACAGCAGTGTCTACTATACTAGAGAGGGCAGAGCAGTGTGCATTGTACCCAAGATGGGGTGGGGTAGAGCTGTGTGTATTGTACCCGGGAGGGGGTGGGGTAGATCTGTGTGTATTGTACCCGGGAGGGGGTGGGGCAGAGCTGTGTGTATTGTACCTGGGAGGGCACAGGGCAGAGCTGTGTGTACTGTACCCGGGAGGGGGCGGGGCAGAGCTGCGTGTACTGTACCCGGGAGGGGGCGGGGCAGAGCTGTGTGTACTGTACCCGGGAGGGGGCGGGGCAGAGCTGTGTGTACTGTACCCGGGAGGGGGC